GTTGGGATTTTTTTTATAATAAGAGAGAAATTTGTGAGGCTGCCTTAGCATGGATTGGACCTCGACGCGCATACGCTCCCTCGTCTCCTCACTTACCGTGGAAACACTTCGTCGCTGTTTCGTTGCATAACTTTTTTTTTGTTTTTGCCTCGCAGTAGTGGTGTTTGTTCTTTTTCGTTTTCTTCTACATTTCATTGTTTTGCCTTTCCGCCTTCCTCGTTCCTTCTCTTTCGTTTCCTTTCGTTCTTGACTCCGCCCGCGTTTTCTCGGTTTTTTTGCTGATGCTGCGCCCCCTCTTCCTACGTGACGAAGCTCCCGCGCCTACACCAACTTCTTCTGCCGCAGGGTGGACTTTAGGAAGACAAACTGCAGCCACGTGACCACCACCATGACCAGGGCAGTGATGATGCCGAAGGCCCATATCCGCGTGTAGGTGCTCTCGGAGGTGCGTCGCATGCGCCTGAAGCGGCCTATAAGATGCTCGATCTCGTCTTGCGTGTCGGAAACAAGCGTAACCAGGCTATCTAGGGCGTTTTCGACGCGCTGAATGTACTCTGCTGGTCGCAGGATGTCCTTCTGCTCGCCGCCGAAGTCACGGAAGGTGAAGACTTCCAGGCCCTCCACCTTCTGGCGCCTGAGAATTGGCATCTCCGTCTCCGGCATGATGCTGGACCTCTGGTCCGTGTCGAATTCCACAAGAATACCGCCCGCCTCCGAGGTTACCTCCCACCCCTTCTCCGTCACCTGCACGCACAGTGTGTACTGGCCGGCGGTGTCGTCGCTCACCGGTGCCGTGAAGGCGTGCGTCCCCACCATTAGCCCGTTGCTTGACACCTCCTCCCCGTTGGGGTCCGACACGAGGATGCGGGCGGGAACATTGACCGCAGCCCCTGCAGCACGCGTGTACTCACCGGAAACCACCCGTGTGCTCTCGTCCACCTCCTCTACGAAGCAGACGGGGCGCGTGTCCTTCAGCACAAAGCGAACTGAAGCACTCGCCGGGGCCACGATGTGAAGCAACAACAAGGGCAAAAGCAATGTGAGATAAAAGGGAGCACGGCACATGGTTCCCTTCCTGCTTGTTTTATAGGTGTGCTGTTAGCTGTTTTGCGGCGATCCCTTTGGCCCCTTTCCTGTTGATGTCGCCTTGTGCTTGTTGGGACGCTGCCTTCCAAGGTCAATTGCGCACGTACTCACACTCTAAAAGAGACGTCACGAGGAGCAAGTACAAGGGCAGGTAAAAGGAGCAACAAACAACTCAGTTCACATCATGGCACAGCTCATATTAGTTGCGAACGATCCAAATTTGTGTGTGCAAGTTACATATTTACTTCCCTCCCCTGTCTCATCCATTTGGAATTTTCTTGACCTTCCCTTGCGTACACCTTCGTCTTCAGTTGTGACTGTTCGTGGGGTCCGTGTGTGTGTGTGTGCGTGCGTGTCGGCAATCCACACGCTTGCGGATGGGACGAGCGGCAGCAGCCGCCGCAGTAAAAGCAAAATAATTATAACAATAAATGTTGAACAAAATAACGGCCCCTGGACCAGCGCGGACAGAGACAACCCTGTGGGAGGCCACATCGAGAGACACGCAAAGCCAATAGCAGCAAACGGAAGGCGCGGCGCAACTTGGAAGACTGTACATATTCCGCACCCAAACACTCGGATGGCCTCCCCCACCTGCACTCACACCCAGAGAGAGAGAGAGAGAGTGGGGGGAGGGGGATAAAAATAGCTGGGTAAAGGCCCAGAAAGAAAAATGTCTTTTACTCGCTACAGGGGGTAAGAGTCAAACTAAAGTAGCGAAGGCTAAAGAAAAGATTATATCCCGTTCAAAGTAGGCTTATAAATGTAAACACATTAAATAGATAGATATATATATGCATATACATATGTTTTTGTTAGACGCATAATTAGAGAAAGATGTATATCTATTGACTCCTCTTGAGTGTGATCTGACCAATGACGTCCTCAAGTGCACTGCTGTCCTTCATACAGAAAAGTTTCCCAGTATTAATATGCGCCAGAAGCGAATCCGGAATGGGATTGCCATGAGAGACCCACACTGCGTTCCATCCCAACGCCAGCGGCTCAAGCAGGTTGCTGGCGGTGTCGTCAACCATCACCACACACTCCGCCGTTAACCATTCGGCATACCCCAGTCCCTTGCTCACAGCCTCAATGACGGCAATGTATGCATTCCTATGCGGCTTGTTACAGATAGTCGGCGCCGTCGACGCCCACTGATCCTCGTAGGTGAATCCATTCATCACAAAGTCATCCGTACTGAGGCCAAGTCGTTGCAACACCGTTTCGGCGTGCCTTCTTGGGGCGTTGGTCAAGTAGTAGATGTGATGGCTTTGCCCCAGACGTGACAACACCTCCCGCAGCCCGGGGTCCTCCGGCAGTCGGCTAAAGTCGCAGCGACTGTACACAAAGTCGGTGACCGCCTTCGCATCCGAACACTTCATTTCTCGCACCAACCCAGCGATGGTGAGACCATACTTTTGGTAGTAGTGCAAAACGTGGGCCTCGGCCTCCTGCGGTGGGAGCTGCAACAAATTCGCAACGTACTCCACAAGACCGACCCGCATCTGGCGCATTAACTCACCGTGCTCCTTGTCGCGGTAGAGCGTGTTGTCAATATCCAAGAGAATCACAAGCCGATTCATGCCGCTATGCCACTGCCCCGTGTTTTTGTGCGCCACCCCCACGCTTACGGACGGACAGAGAGAGAGAAACCAAAACAAAGCAAAAAAGGAAATGAGAGTTCAACAAAACGCGCAAAGCCAAACAAAAGGAAGAAACAGAGCAAACAAACGGCAAAAAAAATATATAACCCAGAACATCCGACAAGAGCAAGAATAATAATAAGAGGCGCGCCCAGCGACAAGGACGGGGAAGTAAGGAGAAAAAAAAAAGAAACAGACGAAAACAGAAAAACAAATGATGAAGGGGAAATAGGGCCAAAACGGAGAGGACAGCCAGGTGAGCAAAGAGCACAGCAATGCTTGTCTGGGAATTTTTCCGACATCACATGACATCTACTTTTTTGTTGTTGTTTTGCTCTCTCTCGCTTCTTTTGCGTCTCACACTCGGGTCACTTGATGTTTGGTTTGTGGCTGTTGAGTTTGCACAAATAGCCCAGTCAGGTCCCACGACAAGCGCGCTGGAAGAGTAAATACGGGCGGCAGTCAGAGATGTGCCCGGCGGGTGCAGCCACATGCTTTACTGCTCGCAGGGGCAGATACGGCGTTAGACGACAAATAAAACTAAACTAATCGATTTAGTGGAAATTACTGCAGTCTTAATCGGTTCGACTCTTCTCTCGCTACTCCTCGCCTCTTCGCGCAACCTCTCCTTTTTTTTTGCCTGTTGATGTTTTTATCCTCACTTTTTTTTCAAGTTAAAATTTACTTTGTCTTGATTTGTTTTTCGGTTACTTTGCCCGTTTCTTCGCCGGTGGGGCGGCATCGTCGTCGCTGCTGTCGTCGAAGCGCTTGTACTCAATTTTGGAGGACGAGAAGGGGGCGCTGCCGCCGCTGCTGTGGCGTGCGAGACCAAACGTGCCGCCCTCCCCTTGCTGTTTGCCGCTGCTCTTGTGACGGCCGTCACCGGCGGCGTCGAAGGAGGCGCGGTTGCCGTTGTACAGGGCAGGCGCGTGCCGGCTGCCGCCAAACCCCATCATGTTGCGGTTGCGCTTCATCACCTGATAGCGCGGCTGCTGCTCACCCCATTCACGGAGCCAGTCGGGCACCTGCTGCTGCGCCCGGTCGACAATCGCAATCAGCTCCGTGACTGCCGCCGGCGTCAGCTGTTGCTCCCGCTTCGTGATGAGCGTAAACGCCTCTCCCTTTGCCCCAGCGCGCCCAGTGCGGCCAATGCGATGCACGTAATCGTCAATCTGCATTGGAAAGTCATAGTTGATGACGGTCTCCAGCTGCTTGATATCGAGTCCGCGCGCGGCGACGTCTGTCGCCACGACGCAGAGTCTTGGATCTTTCTTGAAGCGCTCCAAAACAAACTCGCGCTGCCGCTGCTCCTTGTCGCCGTGGATGGCCATGGCATCATATCCCCACCGCTTCAGCTGCCACTCAAGGTCGTCGGCGGTTCGCTTTGTCTTGCAAAAGACCAACACACGTTGGTTGCGGTGATCCGCCATGAGCCTTTTCAGCTCATCCATCTTGGCGTGTTCCTGGGTGAGGACAAAGCGCTGCGTCACATCCTTGTTGGCCAAGAGCTCGGTGCTCCCCACGTTGATGCGGATCCAATCCTTTTGAAACTCCGCCGCCAACTGTTGAATTTCCTTTGGCCACGTCGCCGAAAACATGAGCGTTTGACGATCTGGGCGTATTTGCCCGCATATGGCACGAACCTGCGGCTCAAACCCCATATCCAACATGCGGTCGGCCTCGTCCAGCACAAGATACGTCACACGGAACAGGTTGACACGCTTAATCTCTAAGAAATCAATGAGTCGCCCCGGTGTAGCAACAAGAACGTGCACGCCTTGTCGCAGGATCCCTAGTTGTGGCCCCTTTGGTGACCCGCCGTAGACGCAACCACAGCGCACATCTTGAGGAAGCACCTTGTTCGTCTCCTGCTCAATTTGCTGTGCAAGCTCGCGGGTAGGGGCAAGAACGACCACCATCGGTCCATCGCCGACGCGTAACGGCTCCTGCATCGCAATATGTGCGAGCGCAGGAACCATAAAGGCGAGCGTTTTACCAGACCCCGTTTTTGCCACCCCCACCATATCGCGACCACGCAAGACAATAGGCCATGCCTGCGCTTGCACCGGCGTGGGGGATGCGAATCCCTGTGCAGTGAGTTTCTTTTGCAGGTACGCCGGCACCAACGAAGAGAGCTGATCGAAGCTGGTCACTGGCGGCGGACACCCATCGCCAAACACGGTGATCGTGTGCGTCTCACGCCACTCTCTTGACTCGTCCTCAGTGAGTTGCTTGGGTGGAACAACGACCGCCTTGGCGTTAGCCGCGCGGTGAATGGCTTTTGCGTCCAGCACCTTCCAGTTGCTGGGCGTAAGCTTCACGTTTGCCCAATCAACAGGCTTCATCCTTGTAGCTGGGGCATCGAGGTCGGACCTTCGACCACCTCGACCCACAGCGCTGCCGTTGTTGCGATAGCTCTGTTGTTGGTGCCGCGGCGCCTGGTAACCAGTGAAGGGACTGTAATTCTCCTCCATACTGCACACTGCACGGGAAGAATAACACGAGTGTCGTCAACGAATCGAGAGCAAAGAAGTCGCCCCTTGGGGGGTCAATGTGTGATTATAGAGAAGGCTTCTACCAAAATGTTTTGCTTTTGCTGTGGTTAAATATATATTTTTACTTGGCACTTTAGTATTACCCGTGTGTATTGTGAGCACTGTGCGTATATGCCTCAATAAATAATTCCCTGTTCCTGCGTCTCGGAGCTGCTGTTCCCTCCCCCGCCCCCCACTGCTTTTACTCGGCTAGGCTACCTCCCGTGGCTGCCGAAAGACGCGAACAGCAAAAAAAAAAGGAGAGAGAAAGGGAGGGCGGGGGCAACAGCAAGAAAGGAAATACATATGCAATGAGAAGGTGGGTGGATGCAGACATACTCTTGTCCCTTCTTTGCCGTCATGAAAGCTGATGGCATGCAAGACTGAGGATGCAGAGGGTGCAGGCATAAAAACAAAAAAAAGTACATACACAAACCTAAAAAAAAAGCAGCAGAGAAGGCGATCCTCCTCTACTCACCATTTGCAAGTACAGCACGGGAGGAGGAAAAAAGGTTACAGACATCCAAAGCCCCTCTCCCCTTTCTCCGTGTGCGTTTATTGCCGCCTGCATTGCTCGCTCACGATGAAACGCGCATTCCGTTTTTTTTTCCTTTCGGTGCTGCCTCATTCCAGCCGCGCTGGGAACATCGTCGATGGCAAAACGAAGTGAAGGCAGAGAGACGCAGCAGGGCGCAGAGCAAACGAAGCAAGTAGAGCAAGGGAGGTGAGGTTGGGGCTACGTTGCCGCCGCGGCTGCAGACAGCTGTCCTGCTCATTTTTTTTATTTTTTTTATTCACTTTTCGGCGCTATCTTGCTTGCGCTCAGGCCCACCCCCCAAGTGCGTCGCGCAATCCTGCACAAGAGGCCGTCGCTTTCTTGTATGCTTCTTCTGCAGCGGCTCAAGCACAGGGATGATGCGACGCGCGGCACCCACCGCCCCGCCGGGGTACGGGAAATGTAGCCCAAGCCTGTCTAGAATGGTCTCCTGCTCCGCGACGACAACCTTTGCTCGCGCGAGCTCTTTCGCCAACATGTCACGCTCCTCGCACAACTTTTGAAGCGAGGCCTGCTCTCCCACCGCGGCAGAGTTACTAGTCGACCTTACATTGGCAGCAGCCAAGTCAGAGGTGGTAGATAACTCCAGTTGAGTGTCCTGCCTTGGCTCTGTGGCAGGAATCTCCCTGCTGGGCGGAATCCCCCGCCCTGCCCTGTCTTCGTTATCCCCCAGCAATTGAGACCCCGATGCACCGTTTGCCCTCCGCATGCTCGATGTCGACGAAGCAGTGTGGAGATTTCCTTTGCGGGGCTCCTGTGTGCTCGACAGACTTAGCTTCCTCCTGGACACCAGTTGTAGACAACTCATTTGGGCTTGCAACTTATCCACGAGTCGATGGAGCTCGACGCACTCCAACTCACGAGACTCCGCTGTTTGCTGCGCCTCTCGCAGAGATGCTCTTGCGGTGGCAAGCTCCCTTCGCAGCTCACGGTTCTCCTGCATCGTAAGTTGCAACTCCCGCAGGTGCGTCTCTGTAATCACAGTCGCGTGCAAGTGCGCCCGCACCGCTCCACTCGTGTCCGCCTCACCCGGTGAAGGCGGCGGCGGCATGAGAGCAGCGCGTTCCCGGCGTGGCAGATCAGCCATCGGACTTTGCAGACCCGCCGCGGACAGGGGTGAGTACAATTCCTCGTGGTCATTGCTGTCATTGGCGCGATTCGCCGTGGAGCCTGCAAGTTCCTGAACCATGAGGCGTGGGGAACTCTCGGGCGAGGATTCGCCGCGCGACACGGTGGAGGCGGCTGCCACCGGCAAAGGGCTCGGTGACCCCGCAGCCAGGCAGAACTCGTGATCCGTGGAGCCGTCGCTGCGCGGCACGGAGGACGTCAGAATCAACGCCAGCCCGCCTTCGGATGAGACAGTCGCGTGCGGCTGCTCAGGCGCCTGCTCAAGCGTGCCTTCGGCGCTGCCGCCTGGGTGCTCGTGGCCGTCGCTTTTGTCCTGCGGGCACGTCGTTGCCATCTCCACCCACTCCGGCGGCAGAAGCGCAGCCTTCGGAAGCCGTGAATCCTGTCGGTTGTGTACGCACGCGCGTAGAAGGGGGTTAAGCGCGGGCGGCAAGACAAGGAGAGAGAGAGAGAGAGGCGCAGACAAAAGAGGGCTGAACAAAAACTCAAGAAACAACAAGAAAGAAACAGAGATAATCGAAATGCCCAAAGAGGGACAGAAAGAGGCAGACATTCTCGCCACTGTGCTCCCCTCCATCCTTTCGTTGGCGGTTTTTTCTTCTCTCTTTAACGTGTCGCCGAGGAACTGATGCCTCACGCACCTCACCAACGACGAAAAGAATAAACAAAACAAAAAACAAAACAAAACAAAACGGAACAACAACAAAATAAACAACACACACGCATGTGGCGCAACCAGGGAATGTACAAAAAAAACTTCATATATATAAATATATCTGGTATGTGGTAATGAAGTATCCATAGATATTTATCTATTCATATTAGTAAGCCGCCCCCGCCGTTTTGCTCACGGCAGAGCCGACGGAAGCGTCGATGCGGCCAGCCACGCCTTCAGACCCGCCCAGCGACTCCCGTCACCTTCGCCAGCTGTAGGCAGCGGATCGCTGAAGCGCGCTGGGGAGTGCTGTGCTCGAGCAGCCCAGAGACGCCGTCGCCAGCGTCGCCACGCCGTCCGAAGCCGGCCGCGACGCGCAAATTCATCGAGCACATATTGCGGCACAACATTTGTAAAGGTGCCTCGCCGAATCTCGCCATCTCTCTTCCATGTTTGGTCGCAAGACTCAAAGGAAGAAAACCTGAGTTTGTCTATGCATGCTTTATCATCCCACGCACACCCACGGAACGGAATACCTCGCGTCTTCCACGTTTTATCATCATTGAGTGCCTTCGATTCGTGGCAACGATGCAAAGGGCGCGGTTTTGGGTGTGGTCGAATAAACACAAGGGCCTTCCGCTCCGTGTCGCACGTTTCCTTCTGAGGTGTGTGCAGAGTAAAGCCCCAACCTTCGATATCGTGTGGGTTGTCTGTCATTGATGCAAATGGAGCCTTCGTGGTGGAGAAAATACGTGAAAAGACGCCTTTGCTCTTCCTTGTCTCCTCGCCCATGCAGGAAGGACGAGGTCCCAGGCTGCGTGCGCGCCGCAGAGGTCGCGGTGGTGTTAAAGGCAGAGGTGCAACAAGACTTATTCTATCAAGCGTGTCCGCCAGCCCCACTGCCCCTCCCTCCCTTGAAGCCTGCCTCCCGGCGGGGAGCGACGTCACGAGGGGCTGGGCACAAAAAAGGGAATCGGTCTGCGCCCACCCCTCTCGCCCCCTTCTCCTATGAGCGGAGGCATCCTGGTTGCCGCAGCCGCGACGCTTCGCCGTTGTCCCTTTCTTCTCAACCTCTATTTCAAGCTCAACACTTACTGACTCACCGGCGGGCGACGCGCCCCTAACCTCTCCGTTTTGGCTGCCTCCTCGGTCATGTGGGGTGCCAACGCCCACCTCCGTTTTGCAGGAGCAGGGTGGGTGATCATCGATCGCCGCCGGTTTAACGCCCTGGTTTTTATCAGGCAGTATTCGCGCTGCAGCGACATCGGCTTCCGCGTTCCTCGCCTTCGCACCCGCACCCGCACCAGGCATGAGGCCACGAGCGCCAGATTCCCGGCCTCGCACTGCATTACCGCCCACCTGGTGATTTGATGATACACGCCGCCCCGAGCCAGCCGCTGCTGGTGGCCGGCTCAATTCGCTGTATTTCTCGTTCACAGCCTTTCGACGGCTCAGGCGCTCGCGACTCTGCCGATGCTCCGCACTTTTTCGTCTATGCATCATGCTCAGAAGCTTAGCTCCGTACTCGGCAAGAGCGGCCTCGTACGCGGTTGGTGCGCTGGGCAATGGTGCCACGTCTTCTCCCCTCATCGCCCCCTCCTTCCTCAGCGGAAGCTGAGAGCCTTTGACTGCGGTGGGCATTGTGTTTGTCGCCGGAGCTGCTTCCGTGAGGACGGCCCTTTGCTCCTTCGCAGAGTTCACCACCGCCATGACTGAGGCCGAAATGACACGTTTCCGGACACCGTTTGTCTTCCCAGCGGAGCACTCTGATGGGACGATATGCCCGCGTGAATAGTGGGGTTTCAACGACTGCGGTGCATTTGTCTGTTTTGGATGCAGTGGGGCTATGGGGTCGGGAGTAGCGGCGTCCGTCCAACGTTCGTGCACGCCGCGGAGGCCGGGTAAGAAGCAACGCGCCTTATCCGTGCGCGTGCGGCCGGCATGCGCATTAGGTGGCGCAAAGAAAATGTCCGACTGCAGCGGCTCTGGTAATGACGGAGCCGAGTGTGTGCGCAAAGGGCTATGGGGGCGCGGCGGCATGCTGCAGAACCGCGCTGTTGGTGCGTGCGCGGGGGTGCAGAGCGCCCGTGTTTTTGGACGACGCCCTGCGGCACACGTGCCACGGGAGTGCCGCGGGATACTTTACTTCTCCCCCTGCCCTCAGCTGTGGGGGGGGGGGGGGGCTTTTGCAACGCTGCCACTCACTCAGAGAGAGAGATATATATGGCTGTGCAGAGGGACGAGACGAAGTAAAAAAAATAAATAGAAATAAAAAAAAACAAACAATAAAAAAAACGGAGAAATAAACTAGTCGCATGTATTGCGACAAGCTGGAAAGAAAAATGAGCTCACGCACAAAACGCAGCGCCGCAAGCCGCCGCCAAGAGGCACTGACCTGGTACTTTCACGTGTTTTCCCATATTTTTTTTTGTCTTATCGGGGGAGGCAGAAATGGGGGTGGGTGGGGGAATTTGACACCGCGCCTGCCACGACTCCGGAAAACGTGTCCGCGCCGACAAACGCCCCGCCCACCCGCGGCAGCAAGACGACAAGGGAGGAGGGGAGGAAGCAACAGCCTCCCACGCAGACCTACACTCAAAAAAAAAAGGCAAAGCGAAGAACGATAGTGTGTGTATATATACTTATATACGGGTTACGTGCCACCCGCAGGCTGCGACCGCGGCGGGGGGTTATTGGTCACTCCGCCATGGCGGAGGGGTGGCCGCCTGTGAAACCCATGGCGAGGTTGGAAAGGCACTGCAGACAACGAATAACGGTTTTGCCGTCCTCGCCAAAGTATATCACGAGGCGCTCTAGGACTTGCACCACACCCAGTTCTATAAATGTCTGCACCGTCTCTGGGTGATGGGCGGTGACGTTGCAGATCATCACGGCCCACGTCTCCACCAGCTCCGCCTCCGTGTAGACGGGATAAATGAGTCGACTAAGCAGCTCACAATCCTCACGTCTGAGTCGTGCATCTTCCATATACGCCAGATGTGACAGTGCCACAAGTGCGACATAGAGGACATGCCTCTCCGCAATGTGCGCCTGGACCGTAGTCAAGACGAAGTCTAACACCAGGGGCGCGTTTAATTGCAGCCTTGACTCTTTCACCGCTGCAAGATTGCTACACAGCGAAAGCATGTATACAGCTGCTCTCACATCGGCAAGTGCAACGGGTTTTATGAGCTTCGTCGCCTTATCAATATCCGGCCCCATGCATGTAAGGTGGGCACACTCTGCTGTGGAGTGGGTGCTGTCAATCAGTTTTCGCAACAGCGAGAAAATCTCATGCAAGTCCACCCCAGCATGCGGCTTATTCCTGCCAAAATGAATTGCCATTTCTCGCAAGGACGCCACTGGGGCTGCTGCGTCACTGGGTCCACCTCCAATGCCTGAGTCACCAACAGAAGCGGCAAACGTGTCCCCATTATGCACCTCCGGTGCAGTTCCACCGCGTGAGAAGACTTCCTCCTCCGCCGCAGTGGGCCCCAGGGATGAGGTGGGAGTGCCGAAGATGTCCTCCACTCTGAACTTGGCCGCTTTTGGCTCTCGCGGCGGACTGCACCCGGCATTTGCGGTCATTCGCTCCAGCGCCTCCACCAGCGCCAGCAGCCCCTTCGAAGTGTTCATTTATTTTTCCGTTCACGGGACTGGCTGCATTGCCGCCGCAGTGAGAGCACCAAACGTGGGTAGTAGCCAAAGGGAGGGAGGGGGAAAATGACAGAAACGCACCCACCGAGGCTGGAAGCGGAAGAAGAGCAGCAGCGACTAACACACACGCAGAGAAAAACATAACAACAAGGATATACATAAGTGCGTAATAAAGAGAGCACTCGAGAAAAATACTGCATATGCAGGGGAAAGAAAAACAAAAACAAACAAACAGCTGGTGGGACTCGGTGTTCATCGCCGCAAAAATAAAAGAAAAAGAGGTGAGGGGGCTTTGATGTTGCTAGCGGGGCCACCACACACACACACATGCAGACGCACACAACCGTCAGCAACGGAGGTGTGCTTGGCCGCCACCCCACGCATCAGAGGCCCACGTGTGTGCGAGGTTGAGCAGTCATAAGTTCCCAAAAACAACAGCAACAGCGGGAAGCGCACAAAAAGACGGTCGCACTCATATACACACGCACACACTCTTCTGCTCGATACACCCAAAACAAAGAGGAGCAAACGCAAGGCTACACTTTTGCTAGTTTTGGTCCCACCGCCTTTCATTCGGCGAAGAGGGGGAAAGAGACGAAAAACGAGAGGCAAAGCACAGGCATATGCGCGCATGCAGAACGAAAGTAGGAGATAAGAAAAGAATGTGAGTAGGTACGCAAAAAGAAGCTTGAAAAAGTCTTATTTTTTTTTGCGGCATCAACAGTAGACAGAAACTATGAGCCTCCCATTTGATTCAACTAAAAAGTGTTGTACTCCTTTTCGCAACCACATCTTTCTTTTTTCTCTCTCCTTTTCTTTTTCTTTTTCATTTTACTTTATTTTTATCATTATTACCTTCCATCCGCCTTATGGGTTAGCTTTCTCGCTTCGTTTCCCGTGAAGTTCGTCCTGTTTTTCCCGCCACATCACTTCTTCCTCACATCAAGGGCGGACCCACGCGCGCCCGCTGCTCAACGCGCCGCTCGACGGAACGCCTCGTAGTCCGAACAGACAGGGGGGGTGTCCTTCTTTCCACGCGCCCTGTACGATAACGACTCCGCCTCGCAGCGACGGGCCAGGGATTCCTGTTGCTGCTGCAGAACATCCCGTTCCATACGACGCACATCCGCGTACCCGCGTGCGGCGCGTTCCGCCCATGCCCGATGGACGTAATATTTTACTCGTAATCCTTTCTGGGAAGTCATGCGCTCTACTACGTGCCCCTGCAGCGGATCCGGTGTGAGACTGAACGAGTTTGCACCTTGCCCCCCGCGGCCCACACGAGGATCCTGGTACTCGTTGATCTCTGTTAAAGAAGACTGTAGAAGAATTGCTAAAAACAAGAATATCAGCAACGGCACAGCCATCAAAAGATTGGGATTAATTTCCGTCTCGTACACATGTGGCCCAGCATTATGCATATTGGCATGTCTGCCAAAAAATTCCTCAAAAAAGTCATTTGCGCCATTATGTGCACGTCGTGCTGCGGCGCCACCGCGGTTCCCTCCCCAGCTTTCATGCCGTTGAACTCCCTGAACCCCTTTCGTGTCGTAAATGTGACGCTTTGTCGCATCCGACAACGTCGCATTGGCGGTACCCACTAGTTTAAATGCCTCACTGGCGCCAGAATGCTTATTTTTATCAGGATGACATTTGAGGGCCATCTTTTTGTACGCAATCCTAATCTGCTCTGTGGTGGCGTTTTTTTCTAGAAATAGAATTCGGTAGTAGCTATTGCGATTACTGAGCACATGCTTCACAACGGCGGCATCGTCCATGCGGTCCATTGATTTTTGTTGCTCTCCGCTTTGCCTTCGTATTCCTCTGCCCTTTACCTCTTAGGACCAGCTGCGTCGCTGTATTCCGCCACCCTTCGCTTCTTCCTCGTCCTCCTTACGGCGGTACTGCGCCCCCTCTCTCTCTATCTCTCTTTCTCGTTTTTTTTTCTTATCTTCGTTTTTCTTCTCTTTGTGATGCGGTTCCCTCACAGAAGCTCCCTCCGCCCCTCTACGCTGCTGCCGCTGCGGCTCTTCTCCTGTGTTGCTTGTGTTACTTTTCCCTCTTTTACTATCCCCTTCCTGAGGCACGCGTAGGCGCTGCTGTCGCCCGCGAGAGAGGCAAAGCGGCGTAGAAAGGGGGCGGTGCAGTGGAGCGGGGGCAGGTCGTCATCGAGTGGCGAGGGAGACAAGAACGGCACGGCAGCGAAGAGCAGGACAGAAGCACATAAAGCATATTACAAGCAGCAGACTAAATGGCAAGCGTGCAGCAGGCACTTGCGTTTTCGTCTCCCCTCACCTTCGGCACTCAGCGACACACAGACACTCACGCGCGGGAGGGGAGAGAAAAAACGACGTAGGAGACGCTCTGGCACAGACATCCACCACCGCCAAACTTTCATACTTACAGACTCATGGATTCGGCAGACTGAGCGGGCCCACCACCACAATCTTTGGCATCCGCTCCAGGGAGGCCTGCACAGCGTGCAGGGGCCGCGCTTGAAGGTATCGGATCATTGCCTCCGCACCCTTAAACTTGTAACAGTTGTGCTCGTAATAAAAGGCAATGCGTGTGAGTTCACTCTTTGACATGGTGGCATACCCCAGATGGGACCAGAATGGAATGGCCTGCACATCGGCAGAGACCATCACAAACTCAAACCCGGCTTCGGCACACCACTCCAGGAGAGCGGCATTCAACAAGCGTCCAAAACCTACTTTTTTGTACCCAACACCCGTTGCAAACAATGGAACCTCCACAAAATGCTGCGTGTCGTAGTGGTGGGCCTTTATGGTAGCCGCGCATACCATCTCTTTGGTCGTCTGCGAACGAATATACCACGTGTAGCCGCCCTTTGCACGCCGTCGGGTACGCGTCGAGTGAGATTGTGGAAGGATCACCAGCCGTTGCAACTCCGGCGGGTCCGGGTACTGAAACTGCGCTGAATACAAATCAACGGCCTCGCGGCGTTCCTCTTCCGTCTGTACGATTCCAAAGGAGATCGGAAACGGGCCGTCCCCCGTGAGTTTCGGGTACTGATCGTGAATTGCCGTGCGAAGCAGCAACTCTGCGTGCGAAAGCGTTGCCGCACCCCCGGCCTTGGCGCCCCGTGAGGTCCGTCTGTGCGGGTGAAGGTGGTGGTTGCGGTGGTGGTGGGACGGCTGCTGGTCGTCCTCGCCGTCGGCTGCGGCGGCGGCTGGGAGAGGACTCCGGCGCGGGTTCCCTTCGCCTCTTCCCTCGTCACCGCCGCCGTCGCGGCGACAGGTCGCCTTCCCGCGGTTTAGGAGGGCCACGTGCGTGTCGTAGTACGCCACTAGCCGCTGCATGAACGTCGCGTCGGTGGCAAAGAGGGCGGAGTAGGCGCGCGCAATCTCGCTCCGCTCCTCCTTGTTGGCCTCCCAGTACTTCTCTATAAGAAGGTCCTTCTGCTCCCCGGTGAGCTGGACCGTTCGGTAATACTTCGCAAGCAACGCCGCATGTTCGTCACTGAGCAGCATCGCAGCCCGCCTCTACAGACACGGGCCTGGAAGAGGCAACAGCACACACCCACACACACACACGCCGAGGGAGACGGGGAGCGTGAGACGAGGCAGCAGAGGAGAGAAGCTTGGACCCAACGAACGAGAAACGTCAAGCACCGGCACTCATCCGCGGCGAACGCACGCCACCCTCGCCAACGCCACACGGGCGCGCAGGCAGCATAAAAAGAACACACACACACACACATCCACAGGCACACACGGTGCGTGATACAAACGCTGCGGCGGCAGTAAGTCAGTCAACAAAACGAGGCTCTTCCCTCACATCACAAGAGAATTGACTCCCCACACCACCCCTCAAAATAAAAGGAAACAAAACTTTTTCCTGCAGCCAGAGAGTCACCCCACAGGCTTCCGTCCAAGCATATACGGCGCCACGAAGAACCTCGACGGAAGAAGGGAAAAATTTACAAACAAACAAAAAAAAGGAACTCCAAAGGCAAAATTCTTTTATTTTTTGCCGTTTTCTTTCTTCATTTAGCGTTCTTCTTTTACTAACCTCCTTTCCCCGTTTTTTTTCTGGGACTGGCATCATATTTCCAGCCGCACATCTGTGCGAGAGGCTCACAGGGACCGTAAAGGGGGGGAAAAAAAATCAGTATAACATCTGCGAAACGACCTCAACAAATAAGCCACGCTCGCACAGACACCTTGCCAGGACTCCACATGTAAGCAGCCCCGCTCTCGCGTGTGCGCTCTTTTTCTCAGCCAATCAAGACAAAAAAGAAAAAAAAATCAGCACGCGACGCACTCAAATCCGTAGCTCACGCACTTTAAGCAGGAGTTCATCCCGTAGTGGCTCACGGATGTACACAACCATTTCTGCCAGGACGGCTATCGCTGTTGTGACGAAGACGACGTCGGGGTCGGTGGAGCGGACCACCTCGCGCTCCACGAGTTTGTAAAGGTTGATAAACATTTCAATCCGTTCCACCTCCGTGGGATGCGTAGAAGCCCACTGCTCCACCTGGACCTCCTCCAAGCCCTGTCTAATTTTTTTGTCCATCAACTGCCACACCACGGCGTTGAACAGGGAACCCCGGGCGAAGCGTTCGTACATGACGCTACAGGCCTTGTGCGGACGCCGCGAGAGAAACGATGGCACCGACTCCCGGTTGTCCCTAAGGAAGTTCAAAAAGGAATCCGGAGTAAGCGCGGTAAGAACCGCCGGGTCGCAAAGGTGAAACACCGTCAATGTACTTATCATGGCTTGAAACCAGGCACTCACCGGCATGAGGAACTCCATCGTCAGTGTTTCAAAAAATTTTCTAACAATGTCATCGGCTATGCTATATTGAAAAAACGGCTGAGTGCTGTTGAGCTGTCCACCGCGGTCTGCAGCATGCGTCGCCGCGGCCTTCATCTCCTCGAGCTCCCCGCAGCCGTTCCAAACATGGGCACCCAAGGAAACCAATTGGGCCTCCGCGTTCAGGTGCGACGCCTGCTCCAAGCGGTGAAGCAGAATTGACGTCTGCGCCTTGTGATCCACCAAAAAAGGAAACGGGGACCTAAACGTGTTCACGGATTGCTGAGAAAGCAGGGGACTCTCCCCGCCTAACCCGCCTGAGGAGAGCTCTGGCTGAGGCGGCGCCGTCGTCTTCGCAGCAGCCAGGGCGGGGAAAAAGCTACGGTATGTAAAGAGGCGGGGACTGCTCAACGTCACCCCATCCCCGTTTGCAGGAGAGGCGCTATCAGAGGGTTGGTGTGCAAGATTACTCGGCGTGGCGGCAGGGACAGAGGTGGAATTAGAATTAGGAGTCGAAACTGAAAGCGTACCATCTGTGCCATTATAAAAGCAATAATCATTTGGAGTCCCCTGGTATTCAAGACTACTGCCCTGTCGATCGATGACCGTAAGCAGGTTTGGCCACCCATCAAAGGCGCGGAAGAAAAACGGATTCGTAGCTGCCACAATAATACATTCCGAAGTTGGAAACGGTATTGCTTTGCCCATACGTGAGTAACGACTAAAGGACTCATCTTGTACGGTAAGGTATGAACGCAGCACGCCGTTAAAATTAAGAGGCTGTACCAGGGACGCCACAGCAATGGCCACCGCAGACGCCATGGAAGGGGTGTTGCTCCATATAAAGAGCGGTTCATGGCATAATATCAGTTCCCACACCTGCGTCAAGTGTCGAAGGTGTTCCTTCAAGAGTGCATAAAGAGGAATTACATCATTTGCACTCGACGATTGGCGCTTACTTCCTAAGAATGCAACACGTTCATCTAACCGAGTCGGGGTTCGAGATGCAGCAGTACCTTCCATGTTCGATGGAGGCAGGCATCGCCTCGGTGTCACAAAAGTTAACGGCTGGTGCAGCAGGGTCAAATTGTATTGAACATGAGGGTGGGGAGACGGCCAGCCCTCAATTTCATCCACGGCCCGCTCCAACACCTCCTTCTGGGAGTACTGGCTGGGGTTAAACGACGAATCCACCTCAAAGAATGTCGTCGGCTGAGGCGAGAGGGCGCTCAACACAGGCACCTTTTCAATGTCTGGGGAAAGGGCGCAACACTGACAGAAACGTGGCGCCACAATACGCAATATGAGCTCCTGAACAGCCATATAAGGCAGCCGGGAAAGGAGAACGACGGCCTGCTGCACATACCCCCGTGGAACAGAGGCGTCTTTCTTCTGACGGTAGTACGTCGCACCGTAAATATTTGGACCAGTTCTCCCCGTGGCTGGGGCAACGAACGTCTCTGCCCTGTGACGCGCGGACGCCGTGGTGCAGTCCTTCATGTGGAAGAAGAAGATGAGATCGTGACTGCCCTTCGGGTTGCAGTCAGGGAAGGCCACCTGCGTGATGGCCTTCTCCCCCTCATCGGTCAGGGCACCTGGCGGCGCAACGCACTCCACGAGCGGGCCAACGTCCAGGTCGAAGCGAATGGAGACGAAACAAATGACCCATGCGGATGACGACATGCCACAATCACACACACACACACACACACACTCTTCGTCTTTGCTTGTGTGCCTGCCTTCCCGCAGTCAGCCCTTACTGGTGCTGCACAATCAACCGTGCCTTCTCTCGCACTTCAAGCTTCACGGAGGACACCGCATGCGTGGTTGTGTGCGTGGAGGTATATATATATATAAGTGGAGGGAAAGAAGTCAAGCACTGCGTGGAGCCACACGCCACATGCCGTGGGACGCGGGAGTCGTCAAACCGACTCAACTGGGAGAAAGAAGCATAAAACAGACACAAACGCACAACAACAACAACAACGACAGATAAGGAGGAGGCGGTTTGTACAAAACTTTTCGCGGCACGCCTGCATTTTGCTCTCTCTCTCTCTCTCTCTCCGTTTTTTTTATTCGTCCTCCGTACCACACCCCCGAGCCGCCGGCGGCAGAAGCGCAAGGCAGTCGCGGGTCTCCTTCGAACACACACCGCCCGGGACCTTCCCCGAGCGGCGGGGGGCAAGCAAGCAAAACAGAAGAACCCACAGCAGTGCGACGAAGAAGTACAAAGAAAAACACACGGGGAGGAACACAACAGAAACGAAAGAAAAAGGAACAAAAAAGAGCATCACTGCTCGGTGAACCCGCCACGGCAAAGTCGTGGTAAAGACAGTGACCCATCGAACAAAAATAATGTAGCACAAACTCGCAATATCACCACTCCCACGCGCCCCGATCGAAGAGAACGAGGAAGAATTAATTTTAAAGAGACGGACCAGAAAAAAAAAGGCTTGTAGCATGAAGGAAGGGGAAACAGTCAATATAAGGAGCAAAAACTTACGTACATCTATCATACATGAAATCAGCTATCGAAACACGCACACGCACACGCACACGCGCACGCGCGCGGAACCACTGAGAATACCGTCCGGCTCATAAGCATACGTCATTGAGTCTGTATCACAAAAAAAAAAGCAAGGAGGAAGGTGAAGAAGAAGTCAACTACATCCACCCCCGCTAAAAGTCCCCAGAAGCACAATGTGGCCGTCGTTCCTCTTGACGCTGTTCGCTTGAGGCTTTGCCATGTGAACCGAAAGAATTAGGATACGAAGGTGAGTACAAATGTGCCTCCCTGCGCTCCTTTTTCCTCGTCCACTTCCACTTGCCAGTCGCGTTAGCCTCCCTCAAGTCCATGCGCACATATGTAGAGAACTCACGCATCGCAATTTGCTTGTCACACTGACATATCACGAAGCGCGGTCGTAATTTGGCCAAGCACAGAATTTAGCTCCTTTTGCACACCGAGCAACTCTTCCTGCCGCTGCTGGAAATTGCGTGGACTCACCGGGAGCCCCGTAAGCACGTCGAGCCTTTTGGTCAGCTGCAACTGTCGGTCACGGAGGACTTGAAACTCAGTAGTGGTGGTGCGATGATGTTCGTCCTGGGGCCTGCTGCCGAAGGTTATACGTCGGGGACTCAGTACGCCGGCACTCTTCGCTCGGGGAGAAGGTGAACGCGGAGAAGTCGACATGGAACGGGTGGAGTGCGTCTTGCGACGCCGTTGTTTCTTCGGGCGGGCGTGGGACGCCAACAACAGCTCCGGCTCCCAGCTGCCTGAGTAGGGCGACAGACGCAAGAGATTCAGCGATGAAATCTGCTTCAGCTCCTCGAGCAACCGCCGATTAAGGGTCGCCTTGGTGCCCGCGCGGCTTTTTCCCTTCGTGAGGGCCCGTCCCCGCCGCGACTGGCCGCGCTGCAACGGTGGGAGCACAACTTGAGTTTTGGATCGGCCTCGCAGCCACTTTGTCGTGGGACTCGGCTGACGACCCGACTGCGGGCGGGGCGTTGGGGTGCCGGCAGAGCTGCCTCCCGCAGCCGTGGGGACGGCGAGAAAGCGTCGAATCGCCGACGCCGGCACCTTGCCCGACACACTGCACTCCAGCACCCAGAGGAACTCCTTGAAGGTGATCCTCCCGGTTCGTTCCAGGTCAATGACGCGGCCAACAACCGCCTCAACGTCCACAAAGAAACTGCAGGCCCTCAGAAGGCGTTTTAACTCCGCAAGGCGTATTGTGCCACCCCCGTCAATGCCACCACCCAGCTCTGCAAAGGCCCTTCGTTCTAACCTGTAACCCCGTGCAGAAGTAAGAGTTGATTCTGATTCCGCGCGTCTCTTTGAGCGACGCGCCCGGCTACTCCGTCCCCCACGAGACATCGAGGTTGAACTTCGCTCGATGGCCCACACCTCCCCAGCCTTGGCCAGTGGAAGAGGACTACAAGAAGTGCTATTCTTTTCAGCATTATGCGACCCGCCGCCTTCCTCCGGAACATCAGATATTATTTTAGTCTCCGTGTTAACAAAGGAGGCACGCTTTGGTGAAGGCGGTTCAAAGCGGACACCTTGCGTCGACTTTAACCAGGCGGAGAAGCCAATCGCCTCCTCCTGTGAGAGGACCCGAGGGTGTCTGCCGAATTTACCTTCCACTTCCACGTTGACATCGCTGCTGCTTCCCACGGCATCATCAGAAGAAGTACCCAAGAAAAGATCCAGCTGTTTCTGCCACCGCGCTCCCTCCGCGACGCCATTGCTGCCAGTCAACTCCTGCAAAAACGCAAGAAGAGACCCTGGGCGCTCAATCGACGCCATGTACTTTTTATACGAGGCCTCGACATGTTTTACTTCATCTTCACTTAGTGGATGCACAGTGGGCAGCGTGACACGTCGCTCAGACCCTTCGCTGCTGGAAACCAAGTCGTCAGAGACGCTCAACGACGGACTCCTCTGACGCAGCTTGTTATGATGCGCGCCTGCGATCGACGGAACATGACACGCCTTACTAGGCGTGTGCAGGGTGGATGGCACCTTTGCCCGCACCTCCGGCCGCGGCGGCGACGTCGCGGCGGACGCGGACGTCACCGAGGACGGGGAGGTGGGTACCGGGCTCGTGATCAGCTTGACCTCCTCCACCTGTGTGCGGAGGGGCGCGAAGTGAAGCATGGGCCGCCGGCTCCGCCACGACGACGGGTCCCGCGCCGTAAGGCACCGATTGGGCGCTGCCAGGTACATTGCGCCCGGCCCACCTCCTCGTTGTTGCCGCTTAGCCGCAAAGTGCAGCAGAACGCCGCCTCCGACGCCAACGCAGCCACCGACAGCCCTCAGGCACCCGTAACGGGCAACCAACCGCAGCAACGCAGCGAAAAGGAAGTTGCGTTCCACCCGGGGGCGACTCCGCAGTGTGTTCCGCCCGCACTTCTGCTTCGCCCACTCGACAGCTCAAGTTAGTGGTGGCACACCCGTGGAAGTTTGTTCTGCCCTTTGACGTCTTTCTTCCCGTGTTTGTGTGTGTCCGCGTGCGAAGCTCGTTCCTTCCCCCGCAGTTCCGAGAAACAACAAAAAGAAAGAGGCGGATGCGGAGAGGCCGCCAGAGGAACAGCGTCACCCGCAGAGCAAAGGGAAAACGAGACGGCGTGCAATACGGAGCGCCCTCCCTCCAAAGCTCCAACTGCAGCAAACTCGTTCCGGATCCACGCGGAGACAACCAGAAGGCGAGCGAGAAAGAAGGTGAGAGAAAGAAAAAGAGACAAACACACACGCACGGGGAAAATAAAAATAAAAAAATGTAGTAGCAACATCTCCACTAATAATGCAAACGTGTTGTAACAAACAAGAGCAATTGTAAGTTAAATACAATGACAGGCCAATGTGTACACGCCCAGCCTCTGCAGATGCAAGCACGGAATTAAATATACCTATATGCGGTTATTGTGATAATCAGCAAAACAAAGGTCCAATGAAGTAGCGGCGGACGCAGACGCAAGTATCTTTCTCATTCCCTATCTGATGTATTCCAGTGGCATGACACACATTTTTGCTCCGCAACATATAAGCACACACACACACACAGACAAACATATATATATATATATACACGCATTTTACGTGCCTCGGTGATCCTCAAGCACGGCGCCCCAATACGTGCGTCGCCACAGAAACACACACCTACGCACGGTCGATTGAAAAAAAAAAAACTGTTATTTTTCCTTTTCTTTCCGCGCTTCTCCTCTTCCAACGAGTAAGAATAAAGCTTGAGAGAGAAAGTTCACTGTCTTGATATTTTTTTTCGTCCCGTTTGCCGCAACGCTGTGCGTGTGTGTGTGTGTGTGCGTGCATGCCTGGTGGCCGGGCTGCACGTGAAAGCAGAAGTTCCTGCCAGAGAGGCAAGCACGGAGTCACGAGGAAACAACTGAACACTTTGAAAAAGAGTAATAAAATGACGGTGACGTCTTCAACAAACTGAGGAACAAGGCAGAAACCTTCGTGAGTACAACACGCAGTGGAGGTGCAATGGAAGAAAGTATAATATACATTTTCTACGGCTTACATGGGTGCATACAGGGAGTGTGTGTGGGTGTGTGTGTGCGGGTGGGCTACGTTTATGGCTAGCACGATCCACGGACACGCAGCCAGAAATGATGGCTGTTGTCAAGCACGACAGCCGGCATATATATATATGCCAATATATAACTAGATAAATAATAAAACGGTGCAAAGCAGCCCAGTTAGCAAGGTGAAGAGCTGAGAATCAACAAAAACACCAACAACACCACAAAAAGAACGGAAAGGTTGAGGTGGGGACCAGCTCACCACATCTTGCTCTCGTACTTGTACGACTTGTAGGCGTCGGTGGAAATGCCAAGTCCCACGCCGTTGGTTCCCTTTATCAGCGTCGCGCGATAGCTGTCGGCGTTGCGGTAGTCAATCCCCTCCCCCATCCGCAGCTCCTGCTCCTGCCGCTCCTCCACCTTGCGTCGAAGCGGTTCCTGCGTAGCCATCCTTCCCCGGAAGTTCGAGAGCAGCTCACTTTTGTACCTCGCCCCGGCCTCACGATCCGCCTCATCCAATCGCGCATTAAAGGCCCGCATGGCGGTTCGATCCTCCCGCATAGTGGTGTCTTGTGCCCAGAGCTGGATGTGCTGATTAATCTCCTCCTCCGCGGTGGGTGGCTGTGCGCTGCTTGACTTCGTCGACGTCGTGCCAGTGTTCCCGTTCAGGGTAGAGTTGGTCGACCCCTCGCTCGGGCCCCCGTTCGCCGCCTCCTGCCTCGCCTGCTCATCCAGCGAGCGCAGGAAAAGTTCCCGCTCCGCCAGCCGCAGTGAGTCTGCAGCCGTCGTGCAGTTGCCGTCTAACTCCAGCGCCTTTTGGTACGCCGCCTTCGCCTCCGCATACTTCTTCCGCGCGAACTGTGCATCGCCGACGCGGAGGCGGGCCTTGTACCACGCCGGGTCAAGCTCCACCGCACGCTCTGCGTCCTTCAGTGCGAGCGATGGGCCAGCGAACATGGAGGACTTCAGATAGGCGGCGCTCCGGCTGCTGTGGAGGACGGCCGTCTCGTCCTTCTCCAGCGCCTTGGTGTAGCAGCGGATGGCGCTAAGGTAGCAGCCGTGAGAGAAGCACTCGTTGCCGAGCAACTTCCACGCCTCGGCAGTTGCACCGCCGTCCATTTGCTCCAGACGGCCGCGCAGCTCATCTGGCAAGGGATGCTCTTTAGACCTCACCATTGACAACTCAGCAAGAACTACACCGTCACACCGCTCTTTTTCGTCTCACTCCCTCTTGCTTTTCCTCGTGCCACAGCTGTTCTCTGCTGTTCCCTCTCTCGCGCTCTCTCTATCTCGCTGTGTGTGCGTGGGTGTGTGCTAAGTTTTTTTTGTTTTTTTTTTGAAGGGTTGCAAACAACAACAGGAAAACAACATGAATCAATTGCGCCCTCGCAGGAGTAGAAGAGTGGAGAACAGAACCAACAGCGCAGAAAGCGCCATCACCATCGACAGCAGCAAGAAGCAAAGACAAAAAAAAAGGCAGTAATAGTGAAAACCAAGCCATATAAAGGGAAAGACGCACTGCATGTACGTTTACCGTTCCTCTTCCTCCCTATGATAATGTTTCCTCCCCCCCTCCCCGCTTGCTTGTTGTTGTTTCTTCCTCAATTCCCTCATCCCATGCGGGCACACACATGCGCACAACCTGAAGAGGTTGGAGGTCCTAGTCACGGACAACTACCGCATTCTCCGCACCGCTGCCGCCGCCGCTGTGACTGCCAGCCATCACGCAGCTTCGGCTTTTCTCGGCCAATAAATCCCCTACCCGCTGGGCCAAAAACGTGGCATCTACAGTCGAACTTGTGGTTCCGTCAACGTGTGAGTCGCTGTTGTTAAGAAAGAAGTACACCTCTCGTTTACGTGTAGGAATTGCAGTGGGTTGTGCTGAAGTCCCTGCCGCTGCCGCTGCCACCCCGTCATGGAGGTACGCAACGACACGCTCCGCCCACTGCGATAGAATGACCGGCCCGTAGTCCCCAACGTTCGACCCAAGCGGGCCGTGCAGGCGAACGTACATGAAGTCCACTCCCGTGTCCACGTGCACTGACGCAGTGGGATCGTCATGGTGGTGCGCCACGACCAACGCCCACCCTACGTGACGAAGAAGTGTATAAACCTCTTCATCATACCATGAACGGTGCCGAAACTCAACAGCAACGCGAATATCTTTCGGAATGCGTGCGGCGACAGCCTCTACGCGCTCCATGTGCGCAGGGCTCTTCCGGAAGCGCGGGGGAAGCTGCAGGAGCACGGGCCCAAGGTGTCGTCCCAGCAAAGGACATCGCTCAAAAAAGAAGTGCATGATATGCTCCTCTGTCTTGCCGTCGATGGTCAGCATACGGGTGTGTGTCAGATACTGATTTGCTTTGATAGTGAAGATGAACAAGGGAGCTTTTTGATTGCCCGCGTTAACTTTCACCGCGACTTCTTTCCGTGGACTGTTCCTTTTCTTCTTGCCGTTGAGGCCTTCTCCAGCATCGTCGCCACCGCTATTGATGCCGCTTCTTTCCTGCTTCGTCACCGCAGCGGTGGTGGCCTGCACGCCTGCATGAGGCGGTGGTGCCCACGAAGGCGACGCCGCCGACTGGGAGGCAGCGAGTTCCCCCCAGCTCCTCCACATTGCCTCGTCACCCACGTTGTAGAATGTGTAGCAATGCTCCAGACAGTTGAACTTCTTGACGTACTGGCCGAAAAGCGTCTTCATGCGTCGATCCTTCCCGGGCACACCGGCGAGCGAGCTCATGCCGACGTGAAGCTCCGGACACCGCGCCAGATGGGCCGAGAGCGTGGGGCGGAACGGCGTCCCCCAGCCGTACTGCGCGCGACTGTCACCATACGGCGAGTTCACGACCACACGACTGTTGGCGCCACGCTCCTCAATTGTTTGTTGCAGCAGCTGCTGCTGTGGACGACGGTGGCTGGCGGCGGCGGGTGCAACAGGCGTCGCCTGTCCGTGAGACCGCGGCCGCTTCATCCCCGCGCCTCCTCCCCCGCACGACGACGATGACGGCGGCCCCTCCACTCTCGCTTCCACACTGAGCCTCAACGCCACACGCAACGGGGAGAGAGGGGGACACAACAGAAACGACCACACGACGAGGCAAAAAAAAAAACGAGGAAGAAGGAGCATCATTCGTGCCTCCTCTCCCTCTATTTCTCTGGGGGGGG